TCTACCACTAGCCAGGGCAGCCACTCTGGGATGTCATCCTTTGCCCAATCTCGCGGGCCTTCCAAGATGGCCTACGAACCAAACCGCATCAGCACCGTTCACGAAGACAATGAGGAGGAGTACATCTCCCAGAACAACCACCATGAGCCTCAAGGTATGCTTACACCGACTCGGGAGTTCTCTCGTGGCGGTTCTGCGCCCTTGGGCACTCCTCCTCAACCCATGGCCGCTCAGAACGCATCGTTGAGCAATGACAACACTCCCAAAACGGACAAGGGCAAAAAGCATAAGAGGGGGTCATCGAGCTGGTTCCCCAAGATTTCTCGGTGGTCCGAGTCGACGGCTACAAGCGTAAGCAAGGCTTTCCGGGGCAGCGGCTCTAGCAAGAAGGAACACGAAGACGAGTTCCTGCAACATCCTCCATCCCGATCTGGATCCGATCTACGATACGACGACCGGTACCAGAATGAGTTTGGCGGCAGTGACCAACTGCACTCTGGATTCTCGCAGCAGGATCTTGCAGCTCCTCAGCCCCCGCACCTGGATCCTCCTGCCACCTACATGACCCCTGAGGACCCCAAGTACAAGGCGCACCGTAACTCGGTCAATCTCCAACACCCCCAGCCTCGTCAAGGACAGACTGAGAGGTTCAAAGCTGCCCTCGAAAGCCAAGCATACGACTACGATACGCCTATGTCTCCCAGATCTGCAGACTGGGCCGGCTCAGCCACCAGCTTGCACCGCTTCCCCCCAAATGCCAATAGCTATAGCAATGGCTCCCCCGCGACAGGTGGCGACTACTACACGTCCTCCTCCCCAGCTGGCCCACCCAGGCCGCCTAAGGAGCCCATGGATGAGATGACCCATACGCCCGCCAAGAAGCGAATCTCCAACTTGGCCTTGAAGAGCAGCCCTCTTCCCTACAACAGTGTTGAGAGTGGTTACGGCACTGGCCCTGGCACACACGCCGCCAGCACTAGCAACTACACCGGCAGCCCTAAGCCGGAGAACCGCAATCTCAGCGGTGCTCGTGGCATGCCTGCGCGTAGGCCTTCCGGGCCGCGAGCCATGACCCCCAAGAGTGCGGAGGAGGAAGCCGCCAGAGAAGAGCGACGTCGCAAGAGAGGTAAGCACATTACATTTACAGTAATTGAGCCGCAAGCTGACTGACTATCTAGACACCTTTGGCACAGTCGCTAGCAATGAGACCGATACCTTCTAGACAAAATGATTCCTCGCCACAGAGAATCGTTTGTGCATACAACACACAAATAAGCACTACTACATGAGTTGATGCTACTGGATAGCTTGAACACATGATCAGCTATAATCATTGAACATATTGGATGCAGATTCTCCCATCTGCTATAGAGATGCAGCGGCAACCAACCAAAAAAGGGGAGCAAGTTGTACAGCCGCAGGGAGGAAGCGGAAGGGGACGACGGAGGTGGATTTGGTTCGCTACTCAACCTAACGACGACATGACACGCAATTGATGGCTTTTGCGTTTTAGCGATGTTTTCGAGGTGGAGGAGGAGGGGGGAAGGGAACGACAGCACAGCATGACCTCAGTTGGCCATGTTGCGTTGAGGACAGTGCCGAAGGAAGAAAGGCATGGAATAGGTTTGGAACGCGCGACAAAGTTGGTTGATACCACATTCTCGATATTGGGCTGCTGTGTTTTTTCTTCAAGAGCAGCCGTGACGCATGGCAGATACCATTAGGGGTTTTTGACTGTAATAGTAGTCGTGGATAATGGAACCTCTACTTCGCCCTGACGATTTATGACCAAATGTGAAGATTGTGTTCCCAGATGAAGGGGATATGGAATTGAATGAGGTGAATCTTGCTTTGTTGATGGTTGAAGTACAATGTGGGCACCGAATATGACTGGTGTGTTTTATGGGAGGAAACTTTGAATCGAGGGAACTACGGGCACATCCGGTAGAGGGTGCGCGGGGTCTGCCGTCGACGGTTATCTTTACCGATGGCAAGTACAAGAAGTTTCCGCCCATTTATGGTGTGAGACATAAGCTATGTATGAAGAGGACTTCATCAGTGGGAAGTAATGAGAAGCAGGATATCTTCAGTGTCAAATGTTCTACGTGTAGGTTCCTAAATCAGATGTATCAATATTAAACAATTTTATTTTGAAAAGGTTTCCCATTGTCTGACTGAACAAATGCAGGGTTGAAAATGTGCAGGAATAATTATCAAGTAAACAATGGTGATAGTCGACTTGAACCCGTGACCTCTACGAAGGTCACAAAAAAAATAAGCTATCCATGGCCTTATCTAGGACCGTGAGCCAACATACGATAGAGTCGTCCCGCTCGGCCATCGGCTACAACGGACGGTGCTTGTTGAGACCTGCATCGTCATTGGTATTCATAAGGGATAGAACGAGGGCGGTCAAGATTCATATACAGGTAGGAATAAACAGACCAGTTTCCATCTCATCTATGGTGACAGGTCGCAAACTAATTCACGTAGAAGCTTTCTACAAGTCAATTAGTGAGCTCTAGCATCAATCAATCGGGATTGACATTTGGTTTATTCCGTAGCTAATGCGCAGTAAGTCAGAAAGATACGTCGATTCATGTCTTGCCCAAACGCACAGCATCTTCTTCATTTCGCATTCACGTCTCCGACGATGCGTCGCTCGTGGCCCGGTTTAACGCCTACGTCATTCCCGCTCGATAACACTTATCGCCGACGACCGGGAATGCCCCTCATTGCATTAGCGAGGTTTCGGCGATAAAGATAAGATTGTGTGCGCAACGCCCTTTCGCAAACTTATTACCCCTCGAACGACTTTTGAGCCCACCGCGAGACTGCGCGAGGGAGCAAGCCATATAATCATCTTGCCCGACGACTACTTCACCGCCTCCTTCCTCCCCCTTCGTCTCCCATTCTCCCCTAATTTTACCTTACAATACCGCCACAATGCCTCGAGATCCGCTCATCGGCCTGGTCGGCAAGCCGTCGGCCGGTAAGAGCACAACGCTCAACAGTCTCACAGACGCCTCGTCAAAAGTTGGTCCGTAAACCTCCAAATCCATTCGACCGAGAGAAGAGAAACCCCCGACGCCCACCGACCTGGTCGCTGATGGACATATCGTGAAAACAGGAAACTTCCCGTACGCTCCAACTCTCACCCTTACCCTGGCCGCCTCCTTCATATACTTGAGATTCTATGTTATTCGTCGGTGGTTCAGCAGCATCCACTAACATTCAATATCTCCCCCTTTGCAGATTCACAACTATCGATCCCCAAAGGGCAATCGGCTACCTCCAAATAGAATGCGCCTGCGCGCGCCACGGCGTCTCGGACCGCTGCCGACCCAACTACGGCGCCTGCATCGACGGCCGCCGTTCGGTACCCATCGAGCTCCTCGACGTCGCCGGCCTCGTGCCGGGAGCGCACCAGGGTAAAGGCCTGGGCAACAAGTTCCTCGACGACCTGCGGCACGCCGACGCGCTGATACACGTGGTGGACGCCTCGGGCACCGTCGACGCCGAGGGGAAAGAGACTCGCGGCTACGACCCGTCGGTCGACATCGCCTGGCTGCGCGGCGAGATCGTGGCCTGGATCCGGGGCAACCTGATGGAGAAGTGGGGGTCGATCCGGCGGCGGCACATGGCCATCAAGGCCACGGCCGTCGAGACGCTGCAGGGTCAGTTTTCGGGATACGGGAGTACCTCCAACGTTGTCGCGCGGGCGCTGGACCGGCTGGGCATCAAGGAGCCGCTCGAGGACTGGGACGCCGAGACAATTGACCGCGTCGTCAACGCCTTCACCGACGAAAAGTTCCCGACCGTCATCGCGCTCAACAAGATTGACCACCCGGACGCCGACAAGAACATTGCAAAGATTGCAAAGATGCAGGACCCCAACACGATCGTGCTGTGCTCCGCCATTTCGGAAATTTTCCTGCGCAAGATGGCTAAGCAAGGGTACATCAAGTACACGGAAGGCAGCGAGTTCGTCGACACGCGGGAGGACCTGATCGAGCAAGGGGACCCCACGGGCGGGAACCTGAAAGAGCTGGACGAGAAGAACCGCAACCGGATAGAGAACCTCAAGGACATGGTGCTCTACCGCTTCGGGTCGACGGGCGTGGTGCAGGTGCTTTCCAAGGCGGCCGAGATCCTGGGCCTCGTCCCGGTGTTCCCGGTGCGCAACACCACCTCCTTCACCTCCGGCGCTGCCGAGTCCAAGTTTGTCTTCCGCGACTGCGTGCTGGTCAAGAAGGGCACCACGGTCGGCGAGGCGGCGCGCAAGGTCATGGGCGACGCGCCCATTGCGTACATCGAGGGCGCCGGCGGCCAGAGGGTCGCGGAAGACCACCTCGTCACGGTTGGGAAGAACGATGTAAGTATTGCCTCGCCCCCTTTTTTGATACTCACATACACGTATCCTAACGTTGTCTTCACACAGATCCTGTCGTTCAAGGTTGGAAGAGCTTGAAGAAGAGTTGAAGCTATCTCTGCGTCATCTGACCTTAGTACACTCATTCCCACCACAGCTGCATTAAACTGGAAAATACCCAGTGACATCTAGATTCCCCGTGACTGCCCCTCTCCTCGGAAAAGATAGAAGGGGTTTCATCGCAAATCATTCTCAAAAAGCTCCATGGTAGGTAGAGTTGGGAGGCGGGTACTCCGGAACAACCGCCCCCTAGCCCAGTAAGGCGAGAGCGATCACCTGGGGGCCAAGGGACCATTCAGGGTGGGCCTCGAGAAAAAGAATTAAATAAAGAAATTTCAAAAGATCAAGACCTGCCGCGGGCAATGAAGCATTGTTTTCAAAGTACCGACTCGGAACTCGAGTCATTCCGATGTGGACCGTTAAGGTATCTTTCTTGATATTCTGCCCTATCTCTATTTTCGCATTCGCGCTTCGCGGCCATACCCGCGCCATCTCGTTTTCTCTTTTTTTTTCTGCTCGATTCCTCCCTCACCAGGGCAGTGACCAGCCGACTGGTTGCGGTCTGCGCCTACCTTACCAAAGTGCAATTTAAACTAGCGGACAGGGATACAGGCCTCACCGCGAAGGCGGGGGCCCTGTCCTGTCCTATCCTGTCCCACCGGGCGCTTGCTGCCAGCGGCCGGCCAGCCAGCCACAATGGAGCCCTGGGCCCCCGGACGCTTCTGGCTTCGCGCCGATTGCCAGAAAGCCCAGAGGTACCCGCAGTGCCGAGCTCTTCTGCGTCCGAGCTGCGTACGCGTCCCTCAGCTTCCGCTGCGCTGGCGGATTTTGCCATGTTGCAATTTGCAAAATGAATCATTTCTGCTGTATTCCGTAGTCTCGTACGGAGTACCCGCGAGGCAGACTGCGAGCAATAGGGCGGATCAGCAAGCAATTTGGGGGCCATTGGCATGCTTATTCTCGTGCTAGCACTCCGCTCAATATGATGGAAACAAGGTTATTTCACAATCACAAAGTCATCTGAGCGCAGTCATCGCAAAGGAAATAAGCTCCAAAGTAGCGTCGCAAAGTCGGATGTTTCTGACAATGGTCTAGAATACTTGTAGCAGTAGACAGAAAGTTGTAAACGTTTCAATGCGACAAGCATGACATCACATGGATCTGCGTCAATGGTTTGGTGGTCTTGTGGAGACGCCCAACCGCGTATCAAGCACAGCTGACTGTGTTCAGCACTCTGCGGCATGATCGGGAGCATTAATTCTCACAACTGGGAACACTGAACAGGAATCACGATCAAGACGTTGTAGTGAAATAGTTTGAAGAGATTGATATGTCGGGTATCGAATTAAGCATGCTACACACAGCGCGAATTCCTCCTCCACTTCCTGGTCTTGAATGCCTGCCCAAAACAAATCGTTTCGAAAAGTCGCATTCCGCAAGGTGAGAAGTAACGTGACAAAGTCCGAAGAATGGAACCGCCAGGAATTATGAAAAGAGGCCGTTGCTGTGTCGTTGTCGTAAAAAACAGTGGTGGAGGTTGGTGAGGTAAGGGGTAATAGGCCAACCCTGCAGAGCAGCATGCATCCTTGCAGCTGGCGCAGGAGGATCCCCCAGCATTGCCGGATGAGACGGAGAGCCAAGATCGCTGGAATGCCCGGCCACCGCCTACAGCGTCACACTCTTCAGGAAGGCGTGGTGACACATCCTTGAAAGTAGGTTGAGTTCATGTCGCTTCCGTTGCTGGATATCGTCATGCCCTCTCGTGTAGGCGATTACGATCGGAGAAATGCAGCGACGATTCGCTTAGTACTTCAGAATGATGTACAGAGCGTGGATGATACCAGGGAGGTAACCTATTATTGTTAACTAAATTCACAGTGTCTGAAGAACTGTCAAGCTTACCAAGAATGGTCAACAGGATGTTGATGAAGAAGTCAGCGCCGCAGCCACGCTCGAGGAAGACACCGACGGGCGGGAGGATGACGGCAAGAATGATCTTGCAGATATCGGAGGCGGTGAAAGGCATGTTGATTGATGTGTTGGTGTTGTCAAACGGTGTGTTTATTTGTGTAGGATAGTTCGTGACGGGATCCTAAAGATCTGATGTGTGATGTCGAATGTAAGTTCGTTGGTTGATAAGGGGAGGGGAATCGAATGGTAAGTGGGCTGGGGAAGAGATGGTTATATAGCAGGAATGAGAGCAACTGCCAACTGGGAAGCCACAGCCCAGCGCAGGAAAAAATACAAAAAAAGGCAAGGACGAGCTCACAGTGATGTGATGTGGACTTGCATGGGCCACCCCTTCCCGCTCTCCTCCGTACCAACCTGACCTTACCTTACGGATACGTCTGACAAGGGACAAGCCAGTCGCAGGTGGTAGGCCAGTGAGGCCCGGCAGACATGTCTTCCCCCCCCCCAAAGTACCCAAGCGCAGCCTCCCAAGACGAGCCAACGAGCAACAAGAGCGTCTGGTCGTGCCGGGAAAGGCTTGGGGGTGTGGTATGAGAGAGGAGTTGCGTCATCGACTCATTCCCGGTTTGCTGCGGCAAGGAAAATAAGGCACAAGCGGCAGCACCAGCACATGGCCACACGAACTGCAAGCTCTGGGCCTCTGGCTAGGCCATTTACGCCTTGAGAGAAGAAGGAAAAGATGGGATGGCTCTTGCCGTGCGTTGCGGACAAGCCACACCTCCGCCCACTTTAGCAATGACCTTGTCTCTTTTTCCTCCTCTTCCTCTGCACTGCTGCAGGCTCTCCCCTCCTGCGCCTGCGGAAACAAGCACCCGAGCGGAGCAAATGTGAGCCCCTTACGACGTATCACTGACACACACGGCATCTGGACCTTCCTGCTGCCTGTCATGCCTTTGTCGCTGCATCAGACCTCGCAGCGCACACTGCCAGGTTTCTCAGATCCCATTGATGAGGATTGGATGCCTGCTCTCAGCCTCCGAAGCTCGCTTCCACGGCAAACATTCGGTCCCTCTACGTCTTCGTCGTTATTTTCTCTCCGCGCTTTCACGATGTTCAATCGTCTTGGATCGCGGTGGCCTCGGTTTCCGATCTATCCTTACTAAATCGAGACCCATTGCGCGTCCCTCCATCCCTCCTGCCCAGCCTTTTCCCGCCGTCATTGAGGGGCTCTGTGCGGTTTGTCCGACGTCCTTGAGCAACTTGTACAGCTAATTCCTGCTCAACTGCTATACTTGCTCCCTCATGTACCTCAGCACTGCGTGAACTCTTTTCGGTGGACGCGATAAAGGTGGGTGCTACGTCATCAACCGAGCCCTTGCTAGCGCCGCGCTGGTGGGGTCCGCTCTTCTTAATTTTGCTCTTTTTGCTCATGGCTCCACCTATCGTCATCCAGTCAAAACAGCTTCGAGCTGGTCAGGGGACATCCCCATGCACGCAAGCCTCAAGGTGCGCGTCATGAGCCACAAACGCCACACATCGGAAGCTGCTTCATGGGACAATAGTGACGACTCAGCCACAGATGCGTTCCAGGGTCTGCCTGTCTTGTCCATGTCGAGGCCCCCAACAACTCAAGAAGTCAAGGTTGATGCTATTCTTTTCTCCAGCGGACATCGGTCCGTCCGCGCTCGTCGCGGAGAAGGACGCAATGCACTGACGATCCAGGTGGTTCTTTTCCTCCGCCTAAGATTTCCTTTTCTTCGTTCGTCCTAATTCCCCTTCTTCTTATTCCTCCCAAACAACACAGGAAAACCTGTCAGTCTGTCTCACCAATGGAAACCCAAGGCCCCTCGTGACTTATGACGCAAGGGGCCCGGTCATGCCCGGCGGCAAAGAGGGCCAAGCCGGTTCGGCAGCTCCCAGGGCTAGGGAGGAGACGCGGCCTGTCTCCGCTCTGCAACGGGGAACTCAACGTGGGCGGCGAAAAGACGTCAAATCCTCGATATCGCCCTTGCTCCGAGCTCGTAGGGCTGGGCAAGACCGGCAGGCTTGCGGCAAGGCTACCTGTGGCTGGTAACTGTCAGGTATGCCGCGACGAATGTTGCGTGCCTTGAACAATTAGGTATTGCGATTTCGTCGCAACCAACGCCACACTTGCGCACGCCTGAGGCTCAAGGGGCCGATGATGTAGTGTCACATTTGCGCGTCCGTTGACTTCCCAGGCCCGAGGCTATTATTAACATGTTTATTTCTTGTTTCGGCCGGGCCAAGCGACCTCATTGGCAATCAGCTCTGCTACTATACATCGGTTTCCCCACGAAAGCCAGGTCTGGCCAACAGTGATGGACTAGCTCTCATAGGCAATCCTAGCTTGCCAAACTGCCTAGACATGCACGTCTGAGGCTACTGCCCACCAGCCATTGTTGGTTCAGCATCGGACATGACACAACTGGCTTGGAGTGTATACCAAGGCAGCGAGGTCCGTACTTTCGCTGAACATCTATTGGCGCCACCGGTGCCGTGTTTCCGCAAGCTATTCCAGCTACGGTTTGTTAAAGAATGTTTTTTAGGGTGGACTTGGCTTTAAGCGTCATAGGAGTTCATTCGTCGTCGTGCGCCGAGGGAGCCATTTTCCTGCCAAACGCCAATGTGCCGCCAATCGTCTTGCCCAAGATGTATCCAGCGTAGAGGCCGCAGACAATAGTGACGGGCCACTTCTGCCACTCACGATCCCAGTCGAGCGGAATGGGCACCGCACCGAGCCACGCGCCCAACAGGCCTCCTACGAGACCGCCGTATGCCTCGTCCAACGGTGCCGCCGCACTGGCGAGAGCCGCCCAGGCGCTCGCATCGACTCCATGAACGTAGAAAAGCGGGAAGAGCGAGAGAATGGCGACGTTGGCGGAGCAGAGGAGGGTATGCGGTACATGCGTCAAAAAGGGGGCGCCGAAGAGGACGAGAACGACGTGGATGGCTGGCGTAACGAGGACAGCGAGGAGGAGGGAAAGGAATATAGCCTGAGGGGTTCCCGATAGTCAGCTATGGCCCTTCCTCGAGTTGGCCGAATATTGTGACTTACAATGAAAATATTGGGCCCCGTGCTCTCAACCTTCTTCTTCTCGCCTGGCCGAGGCTTCCTCGACGGCCTCGCGCTTTGCGATCCGGCTGCCGGCAGACTGACAAAGGCGTAGACGACCTGTATCGCGACGACGATGGGGAGCGAGTTTTGGAGGGTTCGCACGGGGTCGGTCACCAGGGAGCTGAACTGCGCGAGGAAGAGGCCGGAGATGAGCACCGGCTGGAGGTGTCGGACGACCTGCGCAGCAGGGCTCGCCAGGGCCTGGACAGGATGTAATACGTTGTCCTTTGGCTTGCCCGCGTCGGAGGCGGCTTTTGATGATGCTGGCGCTGACATTGTCACGGGGTCAACCAGTGGCATGGTGTGGGTAACGAGGAGGATGGGGTGAGGCGATCGATTCGGTCGGGGTTCGGAGCCCAGTCTCCTGTCGTTTCGGTCAATGGCTGAGGCAAGATACGGGTTGAGTTCGTGAATGGGTACCCGGAAGGCCACGGCTCTGGAAAAATCCCGGAACGGACGCGTCGAGGCGCGGGCACCGTGCAGTCGGATCCGACCGGATCACATGACGATAAGATGCGGAGGGTCTGATAACAAACCCCAGATTGATCTACTGTCGTGCTTACCTAAGCAAGACACTTACTGCGTACAGTACACTGTTCCTCATGTTCACCTTGAGGAAACAGGTACTTCTGGAAAGGTACGTATCTGCGGTATGGTCTGCTCACAGAACACATGGTAACTGTCTCACGGTTTGCCTTGTTTGGGTAATGACTGTTAATCTCAAAGTTGTGGTCTCTTCTTTTCGGGATCTGTAGGATACAAATCTGTCGATTCGGAAGCAAGGCAGCTGTCAACCTTTCCCCGGATTCTCCCTCGTCAGCGCACCCAGCCGGTCGGGGCCTGTGGTTCGATAGCTGAAGGAAATGGCGATCATGTCATTGGCACAGGATTCCTGGCCCCGCTTTTGTCCAATCAGCGCTCGTACTCGGTGCCTCCCGTCAGACCACATCACCCCATTAATGTTGGCAGTCGTCAGGAAACCACCTGAAAACGCACGATCGCCCAACGTCAGTTTTTTTTCGTTGGTTGCTAACAACGGCTGGAATCCAAACGGGCCCCCTCCAACTCGGGCTTTGCGAACCACGTTACCAAGCGCTGCGCTTGCCCCCTTTTCGCGGCTGCGCCTATTGGATGAGACATAGTTGTCATTCATGATTCACACCTTTTTTTGGTGCTGCAGAAATCCAAACCCTTGGCCCTGGCTTTTGGGGGGATCCGTTTACAAGATGGGATGGCATGATCTTGACCCAGCCCAGATTAGAAGCCTCCAGGCACGGCAATCTTACGGGCAAAGATGCCCGCCCATCTGCCCACAATAGGCGTTTGCCGTTGGAAATCCCGGAGTCCTTTGTCAAGATTCACAGATCTCGTAGGTATGCGGGCTGGAGGCACAATCTTTTCCTTGGTATAAGATCCAAAGCAGCTTCCCGCCTGTCGTGTTCCCATTCCCGTTCTCATCATCATCACACATCAACAACACCAAACAGAGTCTCAACTCAATCACCAAACTAACTCTCCACTACATCTTCTGTACGAGTGTATTACATTTCACCTCACTCCTCTCCATCAAATCAATAGAAGTCTCTTGACTCAACACCAAAAAAAGCCAACCCTCCAATCACCACTCAAAATGTCTCCCGCCTTCGCCGCCCGCAACGCTGCTCGCTTCGCTGTTCAGCGCAGACAGTTTACTCTCCTCCACAACATGCGCAACGTCGCCCGGTCCTTCGAGCCTCATCCCTTCCAGAGAATGTCGCAGACTGGTGTTCACGCCAAGCCTTACTACGGTGCCATGATTAAGAAGCGTGCCGTCACCGCAGCAATGTAAGAAGCCATCACAGCCTTAGCTACAGAAGAGATGACGGTGACTAACATTGCACCAAACAGGTTCTTCCCCCTTGCTTTCGGCATCCTCGGCTGGCCCTACGCAAGCATGCTGCTTGTCGATGGTCACATGTAAACAGCCTTTTGGATAGTCGATCCACAACATGGGATAATTGGCAACAACGATACAGGAGTTGGAAGTTTCATTTGGGAATTTGGGATATTCACGAGATACCAGTACATATCTCAAGCATCTGAAGGCGTTCTGGGGCTTCTTGGATACCTATAGCATCGGTAGAAGTCCGTACGGACCATGCATAATTTACTTTGTTCAAACTAAGAACCCACCTGAGAACCTCAGGTTTACTATCTTTGACCATGAGTAACATCGAGCTTGCCTACATGAATTTATTAGTACGATAAAAGTCATAAACTTCGTATCGTCCCATGTACTCTTGTCTGGACTTCACTTACAACTTAAAAGAGACCCTGAGAGGCCCGTGCGTGGAAGCTCCGAAGCGCGCTACTCCACCTTTGTCCTAGTCACTCATTCGCGCCCATGCAGCTCCCCGGACTGCTACCGCGTCGTGTTGAAGCTGCCACTTTTGACCATTTTGACAACACTATCACCTCCAAAGGCGAGCAACTGCGACCACGACCCAACGAGAATACCTGACAAATAGGTGCTAGGGACCTGTCAACAAGCTCGAGTGCGGCTTTCTGTTGACTGCCATCGAGCCACCAAGCATCGAATCGCCCCCACTTGCAGTCACCGCCCGACCAACAAACAAAGGGGTTCCGCCGCGAAAACGAACCGAAACGACCAGCAGCAAGAGCATCGTGAGGGCTAAAAGGCTCGAGGTGTAGACAAACAATACAATTTTGTTATTGAAATTTCGGATGCATCTCACAAGATGACGGACTCGCTGCACAACGCGCCAATTGTCCTGGACAATGGCTCCGGTACGATCCGTGCCGGTTTCGCAGGCGACGACCTGCCCAAATGCTACTTCCCCTCGTTCGTCGGTCGGCCCAAGCATCTGAGAGTTCTCGCCGGCGCGCTCGAGGGCGAGGTCTTTATCGGACAGAAGGCGGCAACGGAGCTCAGAGGCCTGCTGAAGATCAGGTACCCGCTGGAGCACGGCATCGTCACGGACTGGGACGATATGGAAAAGATTTGGGAGTACGTCTACGGCGAAGGCCTCAAGACGCTCAGTGAAGAGGTTCGTTTGGCACAGCTTATGGCTTGTGCAATATGCGAGACGCACTATATCTGCTCTTGATACTAATGCCCACCTCAAGCATCCCGTCCTCTTGACCGAACCACCCCTCAACCCTCGCAGCAATCGCGACACAGCGGCTCAGATCCTCTTCGAGACCTTCAACGTCCCGGCACTGTACACATCAATCCAAGCCGTCCTATCATTATACGCTAGCGGCCGGACAACCGGTATCGTTCTTGACTCGGGTGATGGAGTGTCACACGCGGTGCCAGTTTACGAGGGTTTCGCCATGCCGAGCAGCATCAGGCGGATAGACGTGGCAGGACGCGATGTGACCGAGTACATGCAAATGCTGCTGCGGAAGAGCGGCTACGTCTTCCACACCAGCGCCGAGAAGGAGGTTGTGCGGCTCATCAAGGAGTCTGTAACTTATGTCGCTCATGACCCCAGGAAAGAGGAGAAGGAGTGGGCAAACAGGACAGATCCGGCCAAGGGCGTGGAATACGTTCTTCCGGACGGCCACAAGCTTAAAGTCAGTTTCTCGTTATGGAAGACGGCAAAGATAAGTGGGCTGACTATGTTTACAGATCGGTGCGGAACGGTTCAGAGCACCCGAAATCCTCTTCGACCCAGAAATCATCGGCCTCGAGTACCCCGGTGTGCACCAAATTGTCGTTGATGCCATCAACAGGACGGATCTCGACCTGCGCAAGTCGCTCTACAGCAACATTGTACTCTCTGGCGGCAGCACGCTGACTAGGGGCTTCGGTGACCGTCTGTTGACGGAGCTACAACGACTGGCCGTCAAGGACATGAGAATAAAGATTTTTGCGCCGCCAGAACGCAAGTACTCGACATGGATCGGTGGAAGTATTTTGGCTGGTCTCAGCACTTTCCGAAAGGTAGGTTACAATCTACTCGCCTACTCTTTCCCGTGGGCTCAATTCACTGCGGAATCTCGAGGCTAACCCCTTTTTACAACAGATGTGGGTGAGCATCGACGACTGGCATGAGAACCCGGAAATCATTCATACCAAGCTTACGTGAGACGGTTCTTGTTTTTAATTCATATCGATGAAACGGTTTCCAGATGGCGTTGACGGCCCCCCTCTCGACGTTTATAGATCTAGAGCTGTGTTCACCATCCTGTTGCGCCTTATGATTAGACACAAAAGGCGACAACTGGATGAGTAGATGTAGTTTAGATGTCATGGAAGTTGGAGCGAGAGAGAGAGTGGCGATTGGCTGGATTTGAGATTTACCTACCCTCAAAAGACATCGGCATTTTCGAAGCCATTGTCATAGGTAAAAGGCAGCATGAGGTAATGGTCAGCTAGAAAGTTGAGAATGATACCCGAAGCTGTTGTCTCCTTTGATCACATATGCAAAGCGTACTTTTTGACCATGCATTGCCGTACAATGCTATGCAGCTTGCCGCATGCATTGGGGTCCAGTTGGTTGGTCGTTGTCAAGTTACGTGACATGCGTCCGATGGAAACCGGAGGTTGCGTTGGTATCAATATATTCCTTTTTTCCCTTTCGGACCGTAACATTCTTTCTATTCGCAACCCTATCTCCGTGTCTCGCCAAAATAGCGTCAACAATCTCTTTTCTTGTGTCTTATCTATAACGGCTTATTGTCTCTTGGGCCCCCGAGCGTTTGCTACCCCTCAGTCACGTTGCGTGTTTCTGTCAGATGTCAGTCAGGATCGTCATGAGTTTGTGACGGATGAATATATATCGATACCCTGGTTTGGCCGTTGTAAGTGGGTCACCGCGACGATTCCATTTGAGTTTGTTGTTGGAGTTGGAGTCTAGAGATGAGACCTAGGTAGGTAACTGGCGCGTACATACGATTGTATTCAAACATGCAATGATACCGAACAGAGGTGTGATAAAATGATGTTAGTTTCCTTGAGTTGGAGCGGGTGAGAGAAGGTGAGGGTTGTGGATGTGAGACGAGGGATCGCTGTTGTTGGGTGGTCACGGCGGTTAAGGTTAGTCCCACCCTGCCAGATTGAGGACGTGTTGGAGTGAGATGGAAGACTATGGATACGCAGTTTGAAGCGCAGGTTCAGGCTCGCCTACCATCATCTCCTCTCAAGGTTGGTTACTTGCTTGTTGGTCCTTGACAGTCCTCGCTCATTGAGACGTAATTAGTACAAGATTGCTTCAACCATGACAGCCGGACTATTCAACAACTCAGCAGGCAGAGCCAGTGAATTGAGTCGAAAACCAGAGAAGATTGCACCGTGAGAGTGAGCTGGTTCACTTTAATTACTGACCGGCATATGAGATCATGTCACATTACTGGCCAAAATTAGAGTCATTTGTGAAGATGTGAAACATTTGATATTCAAGAGGAAACCCATATATGGTTACTCTCAGTACTATTTTGCTGAACAACCAGATGGGTGTATCTGGGGGTATTGTGTCCGCCGCGCTCGCTCTCATGCCATTCACCAGAAAATAGAAGCCATCCCGAGGCCGCTCCCGCTATGTCCTTGATAATTCATTCCGTATGCGTGTGTGCTTTTTTTTAGTTTCCGTAAAACGCCGTGCCCTTGTGATTATGAAAAAGAGGTGTGTAGATAGGTGCTCAGTTGGCCTTGGTGACCCGGCGCCAGAAGTTGCCGCCACGGTTCTTGAGGGACTTGAGCGAGGAAGTAGACGCAGACTCCTCCGAGTCGCCGCTGTGGACAGAAGAGGCGTCCGAGACGCGGCGAGTGACATTGCCAGCACCGCCGATACCGACGTGGCCGACGGCGGCGCGGTCGCGAACCTCCTGGCGGTCAAAGTCCTCGTCAAAGGTGCGGACGGGACGCTCGGGGGCTTCGTGGCGGTTGCCAGCGCCGCCGATGCCAGAGTAGAAGCGGCGGGTTGCGCCTCCGTTGCCGGCGGGGATGGGCGCGGGCTTGAGAGGGGTGGTGATGCCGGTGGCCGGGGTGAGGACCTGGGGCGCCTTGCGGATGTTGCCGAAGCCGCCTCTGCCTGAGTAGATGTATGTGTTTGGTGCCACGGTGGGGTGAGGCTCGGTGACGAAGATTTGGGAAGGCATCTTGGTGGATAAGTGTGTTGTATGTATGTAGTGTTTGGTTGTGGTGGTGGTGTTGAGCTTTGAGGTTTGGTGTGTGGTGGAAGCGGGTGTAAGTGGGATGGATGTCAACTGAAATGTCGTCTGAACTGTCAGATGAGGAGACTTGGGTAACCAGCCGATGATGTGTGAGATGTGTCTTGGATGTGTCAATGACGGGAAAGGGGATCCTCGTGAGAATAGCGAGAGGAGGCCAAGGTTATTATAGGTTTGTCCTTGGAAGAGTAAGAGGTGGTGGAGGGCTAGCCTCACAGACACACCAAAGCAGTGTCCTCCTGACAAGCAAAAGTTTCTCCCATGCCCGTGAGCTAAGTGACGGCGTTGCACTCGCAACGAACAAGGTGTGCTCTCTCACACTTGTGATGGACCAGGTACACTAGGTACGTAGCTACGTACTATCGTGGAAGACTTTTTCTTTCTTTCTTAGTGTGAGAAGGAAAGGAAATAAAAAATGAATAAAACCGGAGAGCCCACATTAGGCAAAGTTTTGTCAGAGAGGGCGGCTCTCGAGCAAGTCACAGAGTGAGGAGGAGGCGGAGAGATCTGAATGTGCAAAATTAGCATGGCCCCGAGGCCCCGAAACAACGGGAGCGGAGCTACGCTAGCTAGGCTGGGCCCAGGCTCATGGGTAGCTTGGACCTTGGCTTTCGCTTTTTGCCAGGTCAGGTTTGCTGTTGTTGACTTGTTGGAGCCGGTGTGGGGAGTGAGCAGAAGAAGACCATGCATGTCGTGATGCAGTGAATAAATGACAAGACAAGGTCAGATGTGTGTGAGACATGGGTCTTTGCCGGAGGCATGCTGCATATGCCGCATGCCTCTCTGGGTTGCTAGATCTTTTACCACCACCAACACACGCGCTCTGAGCTCTCTCTCACCCTGGTCGTATATCGCAAGCTGATGGGCGGTGCATTTGAACTGTAACCGGACAAAAGAGCCCTCTCTGTTATCATCAATAAGCAAACGTCGAGATCCAAGTTTAGCTACTTTTGATTGCACTCAATAATCTCACTGATAAGAGTCGTAGAAAAGCAACGAGTAACGCCCGTTGCGCTGTTTGTTATTCCTACGCAATCATTGTCAGGGCCCCCAAGGACCCCAAAGACCCTAATGACTGCGAAGAGCAAGAGGGCAGCTACAGGGCGAGCTTCAATTCATCCGCCATGGCGATGATTGATTTTTTTTCCCTCTCCTCCTCTCCACTTCTTGGTGCCAGGTGGACCTCGTGACTCTTCAAAAAACTCCAGTTGTCAAATTCTCGCCATGAAAAGACGCCATTCTGGAGCAAACGATGGGGTAACGTTTTGCTAATAGATTACCGCTTTCGGCCGTAGCGCGACCTCGGGAGGGCCCACTGGCTGGTCACGACGCTCCTCTTTAAACAAACCTGAAGGGCTGGGAGCTGGGGAAAACGGGGCTAATGCAAGGAACGTGGAACGTGCTGGACGGAATTTCGCAGTGACTCTTGAGCTCTAGCAGAGTTTTATTTTTCTCCCCTCTCCTCCCTCTGTGACCTTCGTTTCTACTGCGTAGCGGCTCGGGAAAAGCTGATCCTGATCGCTGCTGGCATGTTTTGGCTTGGAAGGAGTGGATAGGACTGGACGCTATTAGATCACCACCCACCCCCTCCCTGGCTAGGGCCAACAGCTTTGTCGACGACGTCAAGAAGTACTGCCCGCTTGTGCCATTACCGCCCCCGCCAACATGCCCTGTCGTCGACCACTCATCAGTTTCCTGGGGGTAATGGGAATCCGTTTGCCGCGTCTCTGAGTGTCAGCAGACCTTTTCTGAGCCCATGTCTGATGCCACGATCCTGTTGCAGGTTTGAAGGAAATTCCGTTGACGAAGCTCGTCTCGGTTTCGAGGCAAACGTGCTCGCTTGACAGCCTTCGGTTCGTTCGATAGTCTGGCGCCAGTCCACTTCCCCCCATTGACGTGAGTTCTTGGCTTAATTTCGCCTTGAGCTCAGTTTTGTTGCCGTCGAGGGCATGAAGCCACGATTCAGTCACGCATTCCTGCATTGCCTTGGATTCGACATCAAGGTACCGAGAGCCACCAATTTCATTTGGAGATTGAATGTTCGGCAACCGAGTTGACAGTGAGATTTGAGTAACGTCGACACACCGAGAAAGAAAGAATGGCTTGGAGGGAAATGAACCAACTTGGACTGCTGTATGTGAGGTTATTCAACTTCAGACTGCCAATTACACCCCGCATCTCCAACCAAAAACTGGACAGAAACGAGCTTTACGAAAACTCTCGATACGCGGAGCGGCCCGCAAAGCTGTCATCCCATCTGATCCTCAGACTTTCAGGCTATCGAGAGAACACACTTTTGTCTCTACAATTTTACCTCCACCTCAGCTTGTGAAGTATTAAAGGGCCACCAGTTTTACCCTCCGTAGACACTCCTCCAAAAAGCCACAAAGCCATCGTCAAGTTCGGCCTACACCAAGCCCAAGCCCAAGCCCTAGGCTTGAAAGGCAGTGAGACCGGCGCCCTCATCAAACCGTGGCGTCTTCATTACGTACAAAAAGCCAGACAAGAAGCTAAGAGCCCAGCACACTTTCCCCAGACGCCCGGCGAGCGCCATGATCCGCGCATCTTTCTTCCTCCACACATCAAATCTCCTTACCCCGCGTTTTCGCTGAACCTGGCTCCCTCCGGATGAGGCAAGCCCCGGTCCAGAGCTTGAGGAGGTGCCATCTGATCCGTTCAACCCGTGTGATCAAAAGTTCATTCCCCATCCCTTGCGGATGAGCAGGGGGGAAGAAAGGGGGTGGTAGGTAGTCAGGTAACGGTGCACTCTCTCAGGGCTGAGCGCCCGCAACAACGTGGTTGAAGTCCGTCGCTGCGGGAACATCTTTGTCTTGAGGAGGTTATGGGTGGTGTCGTTGCGCCCGGTGAAGAGAGTCGGCCGTTTCAACGTCGTGTTGAAAAATAAAAGCTTTGTGTTCTTATATATCGACCTGTTGATCTTCAAATGTTATGATCTGCTTGCCACTCACTAAACAGAGCTCGCTATCTCTGCCATGGCTATGGACTCAGCTGCTAACTTACGTTTATTGTTGTTATTGTTTTGAAGCCTCTTTCAGTTCCTTGTCATCAATAAACATCTCGCTACAGCAAGGTTACTAGTCTGCTATCTATGATATTCGACTCACCTAGTCGCCGATTAGTTGGATGAATAACAGTCTGCTGCCACCTCCGGTGACTATTCTCACATGGATCTTGACTTCCGGAGTATCATATGGATGATCGCTCATGAGGATTCGCAGAACACAAGTAGCACTTCATATCACATCCCCCAATTATGCCAGTGGTTTCACCTATCTGAGATAATTAAAGTGGAAGAGCCCTGCTACCTCGTCTAGGACATGTCTTGCGAACATCACGGCCCCAAAAAAGACGATGGACTTGTCGTTCAGCGGGTTAAAAGGCCTTCACCAAATGGTCAAAAGTGCCAGACCACCGCCCACGAGTTGAAATTTCGGTCTGCATGTCTGCTTTTCTCAGAGGCGCATTCCCAAGATCATGCACTCGAGGCAGAGAAAGGTGGCCTTCAAAAAGAGGGACTACCTATGCACGCTTAAGTAACTTCGCTTACGCCAAGACGAATCAAGTCAACCACCCAAAGGACTGGCATTTGTCCCAGAATATTTCCATATTCGTACGATAAGACGTTATAGGAAAGTCGCGGAAGATGAACTGCGCAATCTGCTCCAACCTCGGTGCGGATGAGGTCAAGGGCCAGAAGCTCGCCGCGAATCAGCGCATGGCCAAGTTCATCGAGCTTCACGACCTCCAGCGATCCGCAACGAACACATCATGCCAGTCCTGCCAGCTCCTCTGGGCTGCGCTACGTCTGCGCAAGAAGAATTTAGATGAGCCGAGCGGCAAGGATGTATCTGGACTGTTGCAGATGCGCTTTGCACCGGGCGCGTCGCTCCAGATTTCCGTGTCTGGCTGGGGAGAAGATAACATTGCTCTAGAGCTCTTCTCGCGACGAGGTTAGACCAGTTTCCATTGCGTTGAAAATCACCACCCGAATATTTCTCGTTCAAACCCGCTCACAACATAAAAAGACGATCATGGCGCATGCCATCCGACCATCGGTTCGGCCCAGGAAGTAGAGAGCCACTCTGCCTCCCCAGCCAGTCTCACTCTAGCATCGTCATGGCTTCAGGACTGCCTCGCAAATCACCCGTCCTGCAGGCAACCAGCATTAGCCTCGACTCTACCGACCCGTGTGATCGACGTCGGCATCAATGACCACGCCGTGCCGTGCCTCGTCGAGTCCCGCGGAGCCTCCGGCGCATACGCAGCATTAAGCTACTGCTGGGGCGACCCGGCCTCCCACCCGGCCTTCAAGACGACGCTCCTCAACTTCGCCGCGCATCAAGACGCCATGCCGTGCGCCGACATGCCTCCGACCCTGCGGGACGCCGTCGCCATCACAAGAAACCTCGGGCTGCGGTACCTATGGATCGACGCCCTCTGCATCATCCAAGGCGACGCCCAAGACTGGGCCCGGGAGGCGGGCCGCATGTGCGAAGTCTACTCCAACGCAACGGTCACCATCTCCGTAGACCACGCGGACGGGAGCGGCGTCGGCGTCTTTGCACCTCAGGCCTTTGGCGCCCCGCCGCAGCGTCTCGACGAGCTCGGGGACGCCGTGCGGCCGGTCTACGTCCGCGACGAGCTCAAGAGGAAACATAACGACATCACCGTCCTGCTCCGGACGATCGAGGTTGAGGGCGCGCACGGGGAGCCCATCAATAAGCGCGCCTGGACGCTCCAGGAGGCGATCCTGTCCAACAGGACGCTGCACTACACGACCAACGAGCTCGTCTGGGAGTGTAACACGTCGCGCTCATGCGCCTGCCGCCGCGATCAGCCCGTCGAGCTGGACGAGGAGTCGGTGCGGTGTTTCCGCTCGCCGGAGCTGTTTCGAGCGCTGTCGTCAGCGGAGAGGGCGTATCTGCAGTGGCGGCAGGTCGTTCAGCTCTTCTCGGAGCGGTCCATCAGTTTTGACGCGGATCGGCTGCCGGCGCTGTCTGGGATGGCGAAGCAGTTCCGGATGATGCATGAGGATGTGTACGGCAGTGGACGAGAAGGACACGAGAAGCAACGGAACAGATATATCGCCGGCTTGTGGGAGGGCGATTTCGCGACGCAGTTGCTCTGGACGGCGGATGACGACTACTGGCGCAACCCCGAGACAGTCTCGCGGAGGCCTGGGAAGTGGAGGGCGCCGAGCTGGAGCTGGGCGGCTATTGAGGGGCCCATCATGTTCCATCCCATGTCGCACTTCAAAGGTGACTTGAAGGTGTTGGATGTTCAGGTAGAACCTCTCATGACGGAGGATATCTACGGTCAAGTTTGCGAGGGAGCCAAGATCGTGGTTCGGGGGGCCATAGTACACAACCTTGAGATTGCAACTACAGAGATACAGGACGGGGATTCAATGATGGGGTTTACGGAAGGCGTCAGATACGACCTCGTGGATGCGGGAGCGAACAGATACACCATGATCTGCGACTATGCAGGCTCTGTTGCCCGTAATCAGCAATACTCCTGTCTGCTCGTGGGAAAGACATGGAACAAGGGCGATGCCCATCCGTATCACGGCTTCATCGTCCTCGAGAGGATAGAAGCTGGGACTGACATATTCAAGCGGGTTGGCGTGTCGTTCCGAGCAGGGGCTTTGAAAAACACGAACGAGATGAAGCTATTCAACGGCGTGGCCCGCGAGGTAATCACTCTTCTCTGAAAGCGTCGATATCCAGATGGATGAAGTCAAAAAAGAAGCTTTTGATAGATAAAGTCGCCCCACTGGGCAAAAGATTGGACGATCAGGGGATTGAACCCTGGGCCTCCCGCAGACGATGAAGGAATGCAAAGCGGGCGCTCTACCACTGAGCTAAACGCCCGGTATTAACCGAAAGCATCTCGGCGCTGGCAGACGAACAACGGGACCGGATCTATGAAGGCTTGTGTTCTTGTTTGCCCAACGCATCTCGAAGTGTTGTCCTTGATCCTCTGTGCAAGCCTGTTAAATATATGGGAAACTCCTCGTGAGGCAGACCGGCAACATGCGGATTATTCTTCCCCTTAGCGCGGGAAGGGCAATGTTTTTTTTTTCTTTCTTAATTTTTCCTGGGAGCGGCTATTTCTCCGTGTGAATGAACAGCGATTGGATAACGAAGACTTCATCGACCCAGGATGAAGTTACTTAGCTGAGGAGGTTTTGGGGCGGGGTAATTTCACATCATGAGAGTTTGGCATCCCGTAGAGGTGACATTGATATCATATACCCTGCGAGCGAGGAAAGCCAGTAATTGACGCAAGTGTTACACTGTGACGAATCTGGGCACATCATCTGGGTTGTCTGGGGGTTCTCCTCCACAATCAAAGATGGCCAACAGCAGAGAGGAGACTGGTCGAGCAAGAGGCTCTGATCGAAGCAGTCACATAATACTAATGATCACAAGCATCGTCGTAGGTACCTCAAGCATAAGACCACGTAGTACGCTGGCCGGTCACATGAAAGTGGCCCCAGCAGAAAGCCGATTCTCAAATCATCTTCTCTTTTGTGATACACGCCTTGGCTGCTCTAAAATATCCCGGAAATGGAGAATGACGCTGCGGGATATATACAATCGTCGGAAATTTTTGTCTTCACCTCTTTTCGCCTTTTGTAAAAAACCACAAGACCCATACAAGAAAAAAGACAGAGAACAGAAAGCCCCCGCAAGGAAAACAGAAAAACATACTCTTAAGCCTGGTTACGCTTGGCAAGCATGCTCAGAGCGCTACCCGCGAGGATGAATCCAGCCTGGTCCTTGGTAACAGCGTGGGAGGTGGGGATCAACACCTCAGAGCCGTCCTTCTTCTTGACAAGCAGCTGCACCTTGCCCTGCCCGCCGTTCTGGAGCATCTCGTACAAACCGACGGTGCTGACCTCGTCGCACGCCGCAATCTTGTCGTAGTCGGCCTCGTTCTCAAACGTCAGGGGCACGACGCCCTGCTTCTTCAGGTTGGTCTCGTGGATGCGCGCAAATGACTTTGTCAGCACGACGCGAGCGCCGAGGTACCGCGGCTGCAGGGCGGCGTGCTCGCGCGCGCTGCCCTCGCCGTAGTTGTGCTCCGCGACGACGAGCCACTCCTGTCCGCGCTCCTTCCACAGCTGCGCGAGCTCGGGAATGGTGTGCTTGGAGCCGTCGACGTCGTAGGCGGCGTTGACCTCGCCCGTCTCCTTGTTCACGGCCGTGTTGAGCGTGTTTGTGCTGATGTTGGGCAGGTGACCCTTGTACTTGAGCCAGGGGCCCGCGGCCGAGATGGTGTCGGTAGTGCACTTTCCGGTGACCTTGACGAGGACCTTGAGGCCGCTTAGGTCGCTCTCGGGGAAGGGCGCAAAGGGCTCGAGGAAGGCGAGACGCTCCGAGGTCGGGGGGATGGCGATCTTGACGTCGGCATTGGGCTCATCGGGCGAGATGGACTGGAGAGACGCGACGCCGGACTCGAAGGGGGTTTTGGGGTTCTCCAGGCCGCGGGGAGCCTCGAACTTGAACTCCTTTCCGTCGGGGGTCTGCAACTTGTCCGTCATGGGGTTGAAGGTGGTCGCACCGGCGTAGGCCATAGCAGTGACGATCTCAGGGGAGGCGAGGAAGTTCATGGTGCCGGGGTTGCCGTCGTTGCGGCCCTTGAAGTTACGGTTGTACGAGGTCAGGATGGCGTTCAGCTGGCCCTTGGGGATGTCGTCCTGACGCTTCCACTGGCCGATGCATGGGCCGCAAGCATTGGAGAGAACGATACCTCCAGCACCCTCCAGAGTCTTCAGAGTACCATCGCGCTCGAGAGTAGCGCGAATCTGCTCGCTTCCAGGGGTGATGTAGAATGGTGCCTTGGGCTTCAAGCCGGCCTTCTCGGCCTGCTTGACCATGCTCTCGACCTTGGTCATGTCCTCGTAGGAGCTGTTGGTGCAGCTGCCAATAAGACCGGCGGACAAAACTTCAGGCCATTGCTCAGTCTGAATGGTCTCCTTGAAAGCGGACAAGGGGGTAGCCAAGTCGGGGGTAAAGGGGCCGTTGATGTGGGGCTCGAGCTCAGAAAGGTTGATCTCAATGACCTGGTCATAGTGGGCATCCTCGTCAGCTCTGAAGTTGAAGGCTGACCACTTCTTGTATGCGTCCAGCGCCTTGTGTTCGGCCTGTCTGCGGGTTTGAAGGAGGTAGCGTTCAGAGGCGGCCGTGTAGGGGAAGATGGAGGTTGTAGCGCCGACTTCGGCACCCATGTTGCAAATGGTGGCCATTCCGGTGGCGCTAAGAGTCTCAACGCCCTCGCCGAAATACTCAACGATAAATCCGGTTCCGCCGCGCACAGTCAACTTGCCGGCCAGGTTGAGAATAACGTCCTTGGGGGACACCCAGTCATTGAGCTTGCCGGTCAGCTTGACTCCGAGCACACGAGGGGCCTTCAGCTCCCAAGGAGCACCGACAAGCGCCTCCACGGCATCGGCACCACCAACTCCGATAGTAATAGTAGAAAGGCCACCAGCGTTAGGGCTGTGGCTGTCGGTTCCCAACATCATGATACCGGGAAGAGCGTAGACCTCCAAAACCGTCTGGTGAATAATGCCTGCACCAGGGGGCCAGAAGTCCATGCCATACTTGCGTCCGGCAGACTCGAGGAAGTCGAACACCTCCTTGTTCACGCTGATGCCGTCCGTCAAATCGCTCTCGGCGCCCTTGGATCCCACAATCAAGTGGTCACAGTGGATGCTGGCAGGAATCGCAGGCTTCGCAAGGTTGCAGGACATGAACTGCAGCAGCGCCATCTGTGCCGATGCATCTTGCATGTTGACTCGGTCTGGGTTCAGCTTGAGGTTGGCACTGCCGCGGATATTGCGTCCATTGTCCGTGTTCGTAAGGAGCGAGTCCTCGACGTTGTCCAGATGACTGTACAGGATCTTCTCGGCGAGGGTGAGGCGCTGCTGTCCGAGGACATGGCGGACCTTGAGGAGATTGTCGTGAAGTCTGCGGTACGTGTCGGGCTTGATAGACTTGGGGAGCAGCTTGCGCATCTCAGCATCTTGCTGCTCAACGTCCTGAGCGGTCGCGAATGTCCTCCTAATCGGCAGGCTCGAGGATGCGGAAAGGCATGGTCGCGTGCGAGTCAGAAGCCGCTACAACCTCGTCAGTTTCTCTTTTCTCTTCTCACTGATTGAAATACAGTTATTCCTCACCCTCGCGGCGCCTCCTGATCGACTGGCAAGCTCAATTGGTGCCATCGTCACTGAGCACCTCTCACAGGTTACTGTGAGTCGAACTTGGTGGCGGGGTGTGATGTGGAATTTTTTGGGTTGACTGTTGGCGACATCGGCACGTAAGATCCAATTGGAAAGACTCAATTGAAAAGCCGGTGCACGAGTCCGGGGGAAGTTGCACCTAGTGGAGGTCATAGGCCCAATCCCTGCTCTGCCGGCTTCGCTCCGAAAACTACACCGGGAATAGCTGCGCCGAGGTAATGCCCCTGCACAGTCAACCTGCACGGTCAACCCAGACGGTCCAGCTCAGAGCCGCTTCGCCGAGGTGCTCACTTTCAGTGGAAATGTCACCAACAAAAGGTAAGCTCAATATGAACATGTGGCCTATCAACCGTTCTACTGGCTGAATTTCAGACGGTAAAAACTATGCAAAGAAACAATTTCCCTTATCCCAGATGCTTATCTATACACAATCCTTGAACTCCTATGTCACTATGTTCCCATCTGTCGATGCCCCCATGGTGCTGCTCTACTGATCGTACTCTGAGCTCTTCGTGCCAATGAAACCCTCGTTTCTCTCTCTTCTCCGCCGGCCCATGACCTCCTTGTACCACTCGGTGAGGGTATAACCCCAGTGGCCGGCAACCAGAACACCGCTGATAACGTTGACAATCTTCATCAAGAACTGGAGGAAGCCGTCTCTGGACTCTTCCACGGACAGCAGAATGGGCTCAATGTCGTACTTGAAGAAGATACCGGGAATGTTGTGGTCATCGGTCTCCTTGCTCTGTTCTGTAACGGCATACTGGTTTGTGGAAATGAGGTTGGACGACGAGTGGCCGACAGAGTAGACGGTGGGAACCACGGACAAGTAGTACTGGAACTTGTGGAAGTTGATCCTGGCGAGGTTGACCGTGCGATCCAGGGGATTCACAAGCGAGGGGTAGAATGGACCGAAGGACATCTCCGAAATGATGTGTGAGAAGTTGAAAGCTGAGTGAAAGTGTAAGCCAACGCGTCAGGACTGAAGCCCAAGATGATCAACTTACCGGCATGATCCAAATGCTCCCCAAACTCCATGTAGCCGTGGCCTCTGGCGGTGATGTGGAAGTCACCCTGCACTCTGTTTACATCGAGGTTGCCGTAGATGCGGCAGCTGTCGCCGTCGCCCCAGAGCCTGGGTGTCTTGGCCCATTTGGCCCTCTTCTTGCTGAGCGACACGATGTCGTGGACGTGCTCCTCCCCGAAACCCTCCTCCTCCTGCCAGCCGGCGCCGGTGTCAATCTTGCCCTTGCTGTCTCTCCCCAAGCGGTGGATTCCCTTGCTGTCCACCCACTGAGACCAGTTGGTCTTGTCGCGCTTGAGCATGCTGCTTGCGAGAATACGATCACCCGCCGCATCTTGAACGTTGATGTGAAGGTCATCGCAGTGCATGCGCACGACAATATCCATGTTGATCTGCATCTCGTGCAGTACACCCTTCTCGACGGCAAAAGTGTGCGTTTCGGTACCACGCCACCAGCGACCAAGTTCAGACCAGAAAAGGAAGACTGATATGACCGTCATCGCGACAGTCCATTTTCCACCGCCAGCTGTGCGCGTCACATACTGTGGTTTCGCCTTGGCTAAGGAGACAGGGCTGTTAGCACATGGCTATTCTGGCAATCATTCCCGCCACGTTGAAAGGCAGCGGCACTGAAAAGGAGGCTTGTATCTGGAAAATTGGCAACTTACGAAAGGCATCGAAAGCGCTGACGATGTTCCCCTTCGCCCCAAAGGCGTCGTCGTCCAGGTGCTGCTTCTCGTCCCAGCCGTTCATCATGACGGTCTCAGATGACGTAGATCGAAAAATTGTTCAGAACCAGTGATGTTGCCAGCAAAGAACAGTCGTCAAGTCTTCGGCAGTCCGTGGTCGGGCACTCGAGTTCGTCGCTGATGAAGCTGGTCGCGTAGCCAGTAACGGTTCCTCGATGCGAATCCTTTCGGCTTGATGCAAATGCTCGCCGTTAAAACTTAGTTCCGCTACCGCATGCCTCGTTTCCGGAACCTCAATTGCAAAGGAAAGTCGTCAGTGTCGAAAAAGAACGATATTGTCGAGAATTGGCTTCGCGCAAGTTGGTCAGACCTCTCGGCGCAACTCGTGAAGTGGGAGAGCCTACTGCAGAAAGTCTTAAGGACACTCTATCCAAAAGTTGTCCGCAGTTCGGGCCCCCTGTCCAGGGGTCCTAGAATGATTGGTGCTGGTAACAGCGCTGGTGGGCTAGGAGGGGCGTATGCATTGGACCTTGTGACAGGGGTGCGGTTACTTGCACATGCGGAGACATTGCACTGAATAGCGGGCAAGACCAACTGGTCATGATAAGAGGCACATCACCATTTACGTGGTTCACTGGTGATTCTTAAAGCAGATTTGTTATTCGAAAAAGCTGTTAAAGCTACGGTTCATTGCTTCCTAAAACCTACAAGTACCAATCTGTAATCTGTCATGAAGAATCATGAAACGAGCGTCGCCTCGACCTAACCTGAAAGATGAGTTGCCAGTAGCTCGCGTTTTCCGCTATTGAGAAGGCCTGCCGGCTTTGCTTATGCCACCTCCAGCTACCGGTTCACTCTCTTAAAACCAGGTTCCAAATGAAATCAAATAACCCCAGGCCTGATGAAATGAGACATGCAAGGAAACCCAAACCCCCGAATACACCACCGATCACTCCTATTCCAGTGGTTAAGCGAAACCAGAAAGATCTCAAGTACTTCACTTTCTGAGTCTCCGCTGCTGCTCCTCGGGGAATTCCTCGTCAGAGGCATCCAGGATGTCGTACTCCTCGTCGGTCATGAAGCCGTCATCAGAAGCATCCCAGTCCTCTTCTTCGCCGCAGTCCTCAAACTCCTCAGCCTCTGAACTGGTCGCACGAGCGGACTCGGACTTCACCTCCTGGTGGATGCTAGAGACAGGGGATTCCTTCTCGAGCTTGGGGAAAATCATGGTGCTGCTCTGCATCTCAGTGGGGATCTCCTTGGACTCTTGCTTAGGCTCCTCAGGAGCTGGCTGAGTCAACTGAACGCTGACATCGCACCAGAGTCTGTGACCAAACTTCAAACCATCCTTGGTTGTCAGGCGCCAGTAAGAGATTATCTTGCCCTCGCGCGCAGGTGTCCGGAGGAGGACATTGAAAGAGAACTCCTGACCAGGGGCGAGCGGTGCATAGCAGACAGTTGACTCTGAGGCAGAAACGAGCTCAGAGATACCGGCCGGGTGGTTCGAGTCGACGTGGCCCATGTAGTCGCCACCAACGAACTTGACTGAACATCCAGCAGGCCATGCAATATCGCCGTCGTTGCGGAGGACCCATGTCTGCTCAAAGACGTGGTTGGGCGGCAGAAGAGTGCCATCAGCGACCGTATCGCGGACAAAGACAGCCTGAAGATCCTGCTCGGAAAGGGGCTTCTCAACAATTGGCACGGTCTTCTCCTCGGCCACCTCCTCCTTGACTTCTACCTTGGGGGGCTCCACGACAATTTCCTCCTTGATAATCGGCTTAGCTTCAGGTTCAGGAGTCTTCTCGACAACCTCTTCCTTGACAGCCGACTCTGTGGGCTTCACATCCACAACGGTCTGTGGAACGTTCATGGAAGCGTTTGCGGTGGTCTCAGTAGAGCGAGAGCTAGTGCGGCGAAGACTGCGGTCGCCCATCTGCTGCATACGCTGTCCATCTCCACGCTCGCCAGTAGTGGTAACAGTGACGTGACGGACTGGAGTCTTGAACTTGACGAGGGGATGGGTCTTGTTGTGGGTGTTAGCAGGGCTAGCCTCACAGTTGGCACAGAAATCAGTGTCGTGGCAAACAGTGCACTTGTATCGAACGCCAGAGATGTAGGCGGGTGCGTTGTAAGTGCGGGCGCACAGGGGCCCATCGCAGCAGATACCAAAGTGCACAGAGCGGCTGACGGCACGGCTGCGGACCTCCTCGAGAGGCTCGTAAATGGGAACGAAGCGGTGATTGGGGTGAACAAACTTGGAGTTCACGATGCAGTCAGCGCAGTAGTCCCAGTCGGGGCAATCGAGGCACTTGTGGCGGACACCAGCAATGTATTTGTCGCAGCCATCGCAAATGGCATTGTGGCTCTGGTTGCGGCCAGGAGCCAGCTTGATCTGAATGTGGGTAGGAACGTGAGCACCCTCGACGGCGGGGACGAAGGAGTGCTTGGGGTTGTGACCATGGGAGTCCTTCTCGAAGCATGCGTGGCACAAGTCGAAATCCTCGCAAGCTGCGCAGTGGAGGAAGCTGGACTCTGGAAGTTCCGTCACACAGCAGTTGCAGGTGCGCATGCTGTACAGCGCAGTGTTGAAGACTGGACGAAGGAGCTCACTGATGTTGGCGGGTGCCCTGGGAGGCTCTGGAACCGACTCCTCGACCTTGGCCTTGGGCTTTGGTGCAATCGTCTCCGTAGTGCTGTTGATGATTTGGCCATTCTTGACAATCCTCTTGATGAGCCAGTGGTCAGCGCCGTAGCATGTGATACCCTGGTCAACACAGTTTTGGCAAAGATCGAAATCACCATCATCGCATGTGGAGCAGTGGTAGTGAGCTTCGGGAACTGTTTGGTCGCAGCTGTTGCAGCACACGGCGAAGTTGGTGTTGGGGTGCATCAATGCGGGGCAGCGGCCCCAAGAAGCTCGTGACGGAGTCTCGGTGGCGGCAGCATTAGCGAACCACTGGTCTCGGGCCGTAATACCCTCAGAAACGGGAATATCTGCAGAAGCGGCTGGCACCTCCTCGTCGTTAATCTTGGCGTGTCTTCTCAGCAGAGATGCAAGGATGGAGGCTTCGAAGTCAAGTCCGGTGTCGCTCGTGGGCAATTCCTTCTTGGTCTCGTTGTCAATGACGCTAGATTGCCTCAGATCAACGAGGGGTTGCGTCGCGGCGTCTTCCGGCTTCTGCTCCTCGGCCTCCTTCTCGACGAGAGGAGTGCTGGACTCGGGCACATCCTCCACTGACACTGGTCTGGGAGACATCTTCTCCTCGGACAATTTGGTAACACGGAGCTTGAGTTTTTGCTTGGCCTTGGCAGCTCTGTACAGCTGCTTGTAGACTGAGACATTCTGCTTATCGAGTGTGATGTACGAACCAGCCGAGTCGGAATACCTCTCGAGAGTGACGTTGGCATCAGAGGTAACGCCCAAAAGAGCTCTCACCTACAAGAAGCTAAATTAGCGTGTGCTTTCAAGAACGAGCCTCATACGCCTCGTGGCCAAGTAACCGGTGTCGCCATCTCACTCAACATTGAAACTCCCGATCCAACGTTCATATGCCGCGGCAATCTGACCAAGGGCGGAAAGAGTGCAATAACGTACCTTATCTTCAAGAGTGCTGGGTCCCATGTCGCGCAGTGGGAGCTTATGGCGGCGAGTCATGCCGTCGAAGTTGATCTTCAGGGTGACCTGAGTGTCTGGCGTTGTTGCTGATGAGGACGCCATTTTGAGAGATGATAAGTAGACTCCGGGTATGGATGAAGAGGAAACTCGCGGTCGGCCGGGCGGGGAAGGGATGACGGCTCTGGCGGATGTTTCACTGATAGGCGGCCAAGTAGCACGGTGCACGAGGCTCGCTCGGTCGGGGTAAGAGATGCGTCTTCCTCCTTACGTCGGGGTTTCAAGGAATACCAGACGGATACACGGTATTTGTTGATTGTTGTAAATGGTTGATTGTAAGGGCGGAGTTGGTGAGAGGGAGGAAAAGAAAAACGGATAAAGCAAGCTTTCCGGGTAGATGGCGAAAGATGGTTGAGAGGGTGAAGGGACGGGGAGTGGGAAAGATAAGTGAGTTGGAGGATGATGGGGGTCGGCGGTCGGTGGCCGGGTGGAGAAAGAAGGTGAGCAGACGAGGAAGGAGCGACCGGATCAGAGATGGGACACTGGAAGCTGGAGTGGGCGGGTGGAGGTGGTGGAGGTGGAGACGGGCTAGGCGGATGATGCGTGTGCGTCTCTGCGTCTCGTTCTCTCTATGGTGGAAGGTCTTGACCCTCGGGAGCTGTGTGTGAGACGGGACTTGTTCAAGTGCGGCAGACAAACAGCTTTGCTCTCCGCAGGTGACTTTGGGGGTCGGGATGGGGAGAATACCTAGTACCAGGGGGACCAGGAGCCACTTATGTACCAAGAGCCAGACGAAAGATGAAGAGGCCGAAACCGTGGTGGCCCGAAAAGGGAACTCGGGTGGTGGGAAAGTGAGGATGGATGGCGAGGGATGGGAAGGGAAGGCGGGCGAGCCGCAAGGCAGGAAAGGCGGTAATAGCGTCAGTCGTCACTCTCGCAACTGCCTTGAGATTCTCACGGTTCACCACTTGCCCCCTGGGGAGTACATCACAAAGTAACAAGGCAAGGTTCCTACCTACCTTAGGTAGACTCTCACACTCTCACACTCTCACCTCACAGCGCTCTCTCACTCTCACCCATCCGCGGAGAACATGGCATAGCATGGCATGTCTGATGTCGGTGACCGGGATCCCTCAATGGGTGGACCTGTTGAAGGGCGGAGGGGTCATGGACATGACATTGCTGGCCTTCCCCAGGTAAGCTTGGTGCCTTTTCACACCTTCAGAGGTACTTATCCAACGTACCGTGGGGGGAAAGAGAGGGGCAAGGTGACTCTAGAGAAATCTGGTTGGCTGGTTGGTAGTACCTACGGAAAAGGAACGTACCTTTCTGCAGCTGCTTCCGCGCTGTTAGGCGAGAGCGAATGGTGTGAACTTGAAAGGTGTAAACTGCTTATTCCGCTCGCTAACAAGGTACCTTATCGAACATTGCCTCTTGCCTCTTGACTGCCTCAAGGATCAAGCTATCCGTTCGTGGGCGCGGGAAGGCACTCCAGGACTGAGGCGTCTGGGAGTAGATACATAGTATACGCTTGCAGAGATAGCCTTTGCTGTGGGAAAGCCGAGACACCGCTAACCAAGACCATGTCAAAGTGTCAAATCCGCGTAGTGGCATTAGGGATAGATGCCCCCCAAGGTTCAAACCTCCTCCCACCGCTCTGCTTAGCAAGCCGGGCCTCTTGTCGCCATCCATGTTCCATGGATTGCTATTCGGGAACCACAACTGCTCACATGTCACTGCAGGCAGATACACCAAGGCCAGGCAAACCAGTCAGTCAGCCAAGCCAGGCAGCCTACGACACCTCAGCTCGCCCCTCTGGCTTCACATTCGTTCACATAGTACACCATCACAGTGGGCAGCAGGCGGCAAAAAAGATAAATCATGACCATGGAAGAAGCTCGAAAGAGGCGGTCAACAGCCACCACCGCGAAATAGCGACCCGGCAGCTTACAGTGCCATCAATGGAATCTGCTCCAACCTTCCTCGCCCCAATTCAATTCATTGTCCACAACCATGGCTACGGCCACGTTCGCTTCTCGCAGCCTCGATTCCTTCTTTTTTTCCCTTGACTGGATGAACCGGTCGAGTCGTCAACTTCGGCTTCGCCTCCGTCCTTCGCCCTTTCGCCTTTTCAGTATAGTAGTCGAGGAACCGACGAGGTCTCGGCGCTACCAAATCATCCGCATTTTGATTCCCTTTCTAATCTTTGCCTCATGCTATTTCCCACCCTTCGCCTACTGGGATTCACACCCACACGCCCCCCGGCAATGACTCTCTCCTTCAACCACTACGAGCTACCCTGGTACGCCCGGGCAAAGACGCAATAACCACTGCCCATTGGCACATGACGGGGGACTGCCCTGCAAACACCAGACTCGAAATGAGGCGAACTGGAGCCTCGCCGCGAATTGTTCCTATGTTTACGCACTTCAACTATGCAAAACGTGGACAATAAGCAGTCATAGGGGTTTGGCTTGGTCATCGACCTCTCTTGGGCTCCTTAATCTTCTCACATTTCCTTCTGCTTGAACTCGCATCTGGCGTTCAGACGTGCCATGTCACCATGGTGGCCTGCCCTCTCGACTACCGACAACTGGTCGATCTGGGTCTTCATGCAACGAATCGCGATGCCGGAGCACCAGCTTGCTGCATAGTTGCATAGTCGGTCAGTCGGACAGTCGGTCATCCTCCACTGCGATTCAGTGATAAGACAAGGAATACGACCTCCGACCTGTCCGTCTACCAGACTTTGTGCCTGGATTGGCCCAGGGGTGTCCAGTGCTATGTTTGCCCAGAAGGCGCGAGTGTCTCGCACCTAGCTATGCGTTTGGCGCAAATACTATTACGCCGCAGAAGGGAAAGCGAAAACCTCCAGACAGTCACTGCAGTCGATGCGTTATCCAACGCGTGGTAAAACCCAACCTCATGCAGCTACCGCATCCGATCTTAGCGAGCCCGGCAGCGTGGTCGCTCGAGATCGGAATGGGGAGGAGGGGCGGGTCGACCGACGACCACGGGAGACAGTCTGTTCTCTGTCACCTGAGCCTCTATTCCTTACTGGAAGCAGCAATCGCTGCCGCAAGTCACGCAGCACGCAATCCTTCAGTACTCAGTCTCGCTGGGCCTTGTCACCGAATGGAGCTGAAGTCGGACAAGACAAAGAGCTGAGGTCAAACAGGAAAAATCCGTCCGCGCTTGACTCGTTCACGTGGAGATCCTTTCATCTGTCTTGGACCGAGACAGAGCCTCCTCTAATACGAGCTCTCTATCAATGTCTGAAGTAGATCAAACTGGCACTCACCCTCCGATGCTGAGGCACGTTAAGCCGGCCTTAGTCAGCTAGTGACTAGTTCCCTCCTTTGCAGAAGGTCTCCGTCTTCAATTCCTATCGAAGAGGCTTTTGTGTGTGTCTCGGGCCATCAAGATCGACGTATGCCAACCTCGCATCAAACCTTCTCTGACAAGTGTCTGTGGGATGAATTAAGGACGGATGCTTCATAGCTACTTTACACCGAAAGGAATGGCCACGGCGACGCTCACGGGGACGGGGTTGGAAATGACAGCTCATCGTCCAGACGGAAATCTGCAGCAATGGCGCCGGCGGACCAACAACAGCGCTCTGACAAAGGCGGGGGAGGCGGGGAAGCTCTCGGTGAGCAAAGCAAGCAGGCCATAAGCAACCAAATATCTCACGGCCTCATTTAGGCCAGCTGGCTGGTCGGTCTTTTGGTCCAGATCGACAGACGGCGGGAATAGCGAACAGTCGAGAAGCCATCCTTCCAGGTCCGAGAGCGCTGCTCGCCTGCCTAGGCCGTCCTCAACAGGCAAAGACGATACAGTTATCGCAACGCTACGCTGTATGTCACCATTCTAGTGTCCAGCCATCCAGGCTGCTAGTCATGCGAACTCAACCCCCGCCTTTTCCCAAAGTTCTCATCAAAGTTACCAAACCACCGCTGCGGAGGCTGCCAAGAAAAGGATGTTTTGTTGTCACTCGCATTGCCTGACATTGAATTCATCCGGCAAGCTCGACCTCCATAGTGTAAAGCAGGACGTGGGAAAGTAAAGTGGCCGGCTCAGGGGTCTGTCCCAAGAAGGGCAATCCGGACAAGACAAGTCGCTCTCCGGACCCGAAGCTCCATTGCGCCCGGATCGAAGCCGACCACCCGATCTCTCCACCTCGAGGCTCAACCGCCTCACACACTGTACACTGTAGGAAGACGGTGACTTTTTTCCATCTCATCATCCCCCCTCGCTTCTTGAATCATCTAATGTCTGTCCAAGGCACCAAAGCTACGTCAGGCGAAAAAAATGCAATGAGAGAGGTGAAAAAGTAATACCCGCACGAGGAAGTTAGGAACAGTCTTTAACTTCCATACTCGTCCCATGAATTCGCTCCTGGCGCCGCCTTTCATCGACTCATCGAGGACCTTGAAAGTCTACCTAGTGCGGAACATGTTCCCCGTCTACCCCTGAAGAAAGGTTCGAGGTAAGCTCGAAAGCTCGGTAGGCCTCACGCCTGCCAAAAAAGACGGTTCAGAGGCGAAGCAAACAAAGGAAGGGCCCAGAACTCGACAATACGTCATGTTTCCCCCCTCTCCCCCTCCGCCTTTGCAATCTCACCACCTTTGACCAACCCCAAAGAGACATCATCCGGTTCTCCAATTGCTTTGTTTCAGGATTGCAGGGCTTGGCGAGGGGGCCGCAGCAATTCGTCCAGACAAGAAATAAAGATGAAGACTGAGGCAGCGCGAACGCGTGTCTTGCTGTCGTGCCTGCTCTAATACCCGCTCGCTGACCACGATCCTTCGTTGCCTAATAGGTACCCATCTTTCGACTCATAATCCTTAGGGAAAGAGAGGAAAAAAAAATTTTTAAAAAAAAATGCATTGAGTTTTACGGATAGACGTTGGCTTATTATTCATCCCTCGCCTGGTTGGGTTTCTCCGCCGCACAGGTCTCGCAAAGAGACGACGGGACGACAAATCATTTCCCCTCTATGAAGTCGTACCGGCCTTGTAGGCTCATATAAGACGCCTCTGATAGGGGGTTTACGTGTACACACGTCTCGTATTTTGCATGCACATCCTACCTTGCCTACGTGCCCTATTGTCCGGAAACGTCCGCACGACTTACACGTCGCCAGATGCCGAGGCCGACATGTCTCCTGGTTTTTCTTCGCTGTTTTAATCCCATGTCGTGTCTGTACGCGTTAAGAGGGAAACTATTGATGCGGTAGGACAGATAGGTTGATCGATCGTGGACGTGAGCAATCGATAGATGGCCGGCACCACCGTATCTGCAGTCATCGAGCAGAGGGTCAAAGCTCACCCGTTAATGCGAAGCTATTGATGGTGATGATTGTTAAGCCCGTTGTGATCATGTTAAAGTATTGGGCATTTTCCCAGTTCGTGACCAACTGAGAAACAGCAAGAGAGTCTGCGAGGAACCACAGAAGTTGCTCAGCCATGCCTACTTACTTTTGATATGACAATACAGGATTTTCTTACTGTCATTGTTCTAGGAATCTGACAGATCCAAGCAAGCTGCCATCAAGCGCATGGTCTTGGTCACCATGATGATGTGGCTGCCTCTTCCGACCCTCAACACTCAGGAATGCAAGGAAGGATGTTTCCGGGCAGCAACGTTGTCAGACGTTTCCCCCCCCCCCCCCCCCGTTCTCCAAGTTATCCGAAACCGGCCCAACGATAAGAGCGAAGATGGCAATCAGTTCTTCTCAGTAAGTGAGATATTGGGTAAGATGTCTCTAACGGTTAGTCAAGCAATGGACGATCCTTGCACTCTTTAACATCTAGAATGTCCAACATCACCTTTCCCACCGCGAATATCAACATGCGGTCAATTCGTTCGTTCATCGTTGGGCACTAGGTCGATTCTACGGTCTCACGGTGACGGAGACTCAAGGTCGGACTAGAGCCGCAATCAGTCGAGGTTACGGACAGTGTACACCCTGGCAGGCGGGACCAATGTTCAATCACGAAGACTTCATACAGTAGCTTTAAACTACCTGCCCCAGTTCCATTCCAGTGCCATTCCACCGTCTTTGCCCTCCTCTTTTTTCAGTATAATATTCAACACCACCACTTTCATTCTCACTCCGCGCTTCGGTCCCTTCCCCCTGTGCCATTCTCTCTCGTCTCGTCTCCTAACAAAACCATGAGAATGCTCTTGAGCCAACCGGCCCTCCTCTTACCCCTCACATCTTCAAATACGAATTTAGGATACTGTCAGAACTTTTCCACCACATCCTACTCTTCCAATACACACTTGAGAAAAACAGCAAGTACAATTGCGCTGCCTAAACAATAAGTAGCGTAAACAGAAAATAAAAAAAGGAATACCTTGATGGGAACGAGGAAAAGAGATCTAGGCTTTCATTGGATCATGAACGGAGTAGAAACAAAACGAGGAAAAGAAAAAAGTTAGAAACGACATCGAAAGGGTTGTCAGTATTGTGTACCGATCCCGCTCTCGAGTATTTACTTTGTAAAGAGTGTGTGGAAGAACGTCTAGGTAAAAGAACTCAGCCATCGTTGCGAACATCAATAAGCAAAAAGAAAAGGTGAGTGGAAGCAAAATGTATAGACGCTCAAGAAACACAACGAATAGCCTCCCCGATAATCATCCGCCTTTGAATCCAATAAAAACAGGCCCGGGGATTTTAATGAAAAAACTCAGAAACGCCAGAAACACAAGGCGGCGACGTGAAGTGGACGGATGGAAATAGGCTGGAAAAGATGATAGAATGTGGTAGAGACAGAGTGTGAGGAACTTCTTGAATTCGAGAACAAAGCGAGGTTGTAGGAACCAGGGAGGAGGAGGGAAACCCCCTTTTCTGTCGACCGCTTCTCGCTCGCTCTCCACCAATTCCGTAGGAATTCTCCTCCTTTTGTCCAAGATATGCTTGTAACCATACGTTGGAACAGGAGAAGTCAAGTAAAACCTCAAAAGGACAGCGAAAGTACCTCACAACCCCATCCTCCAACAGTGTACCAATTCAACCCAGATCAAGAGCGCTCATTCCTATCAATACTATAATCATAGAGTTCAAACACCGCAAAGTTTTTTGTGGATTTCCTCCTGCCCTTTGTCCCCGTCCGGCCGTCCGACGAGAAGAGGGTATAGCGACGGCTAGAGAGCCGACAATGACAATTACAAGGATTAGAAGGAAGGCGGTAGGAAGTGTGGGAAAACCTAGGAAGGCATTTGCCCGTACCCCTATTGCGAGTAGTACACCATCCCGGGAGCTGGCTGCTGGTAGTAAAAGGCGTCCGGGCTCGGAGTCACCATACCGCCCATACCACTGACACCGGGGCCAAATTGCGGAGGAGGCTGGTAGCTCTGCTGATAGTTGGACATCTGGGTGGCATCGTAGTAGTACACCATACCATTGACCTCTTGAGCTACCAAATTGGGACCCGGCGGTCCTTGGCCGTTTGCTTGTGCAGCCGCGGGGTCTGCCTGGGCTTGAGGAGGGAAACCTTGGCCTTGGCCTGGCTGTCCCGAGGGAACGAAGGATGGAGCTGCAGCAGAAGGTCCCATATTGTTGCCATTGTACTGCCCAGGGTAGTAATACGGCTGCTGAGGCTGCATCATAGGATAAGGTTGGTTATAGAAGTTTTGCTGCTGCTGGAAGGTGTTTGGCTGGAACGGAGCCGCGTGAATTGCCCTCTCGGGAATCTGGGAAAGAGGCGTGCCGGTAGAGTGTTGAGTGGGGTATGACGGCTGTCGCGAGTGGGCTTCCTGCGGCATGCCGTTGGAGACCTGGAGAGGAACCTGCTGATGGAAAGCTTGTTGGAAGGCTTGCGGGCCTTGATTGAGGGTCGGCGATTCAATGTTCGTGACCGAGACGGCCTTTTGAGGACGAGGCTGGTGCATGGGGATCGAGTTCGGGCGACTCTCTTGGAAGGCAGGCTTCTGTGGCAACGGGTGCGTCTGCGGCTGCGGCAAGTCATTGATAGATGTCTCGTTTGGCTGCATAGGATAACCGTCCTGTCCAACGAATGGCTGATTCGGGTGAGCTGCAGGCGGGAGGCGGACGACTGGTCGGGGGTTCTCGACCGGAATCGGGGCCCGCGACATGACAGAGCCTGTGGGGGAGAACAAGTAGTCACGCCCATCAGGAGCGAGAGAGGAGCGACGACTAAGGGCGATGCTGGGAGAGTAGGCGCTGCCGTAGTAGCTTCCGCCAAAGACACTGGTCCGCCGGGAGAAGCCTCCCATTGAGCCAAGTCCAGAGCGAGGTTTACCTCGGGTCCGCTGTTGGTTGGGTCGCATCGCCCGGGGGATAAAGATGAAGGATCGGTCGACAGCTGGGAAGATGTACTTGGGCGGGTTATCGGGCAAGGAGATGCGGACAGGCTTGTCACGGCGAAGGGGTGGCCGATGATCCGGAAGCTTGGTGTATTGTTTCACAGGCATGCCAAAGGCGGCGGGAGCTTTGCCAACAACGGGAAGAGACACCCTGACCTGCACGTTTCCGATGTGTCGCTCGGTCGACAAAGTCCGGTTGATCGGGGTGGGGTTGGACGGGCACGTTGGGATGAAGCCGTTGCCGTTGGCCGGGCCTTCAGTTTCGACGGGCAGGTGCCTTGGATGTCTCGAGGGAGGCGGTTCGGTCACGGCCTCGTGCATATCATGCGCCCATTGGCCGCTCGTGAGAGGATCGGTCGGACTGTGCAGTTGACTGCGCGGATTAGCCGGGATACGGGCAGAGTCTTGCTGGGCAGCGTACTTGATGGGTGCATAGGGGCCTCCAATGCCTCCGCCACGGCCGCCGCGTCCTCGTCCTCTGCCAAAGGGCCGGAAGCCGTTGGCAGAGGGTCCGGCATGACGATGATCGTGCATAAAGAAGGCCCCTCTGTTGGGAACGAAGGCGGGGTCTTCATCCCTTCTCCGCTTGTATTCTTCGTGTTCCCGGCGACGACGTTCGTTGACAGGCTCGGCAGGGCGGGACGAGTGGGAGCTCACTACGAGAGGGGCAGAAGACTTTGGAGGAGATGCGGTTCCGTCAAGCTGTGCCTCTGGTTGAACGGGCTCGGACCGGTCATTGACAGATAGCTCCTCGGCATCGGGTGCGGCCTTGTTGGTCGTCGAGGGGGCCAGGGCCGAGTGTTTCCGGCTACCAGACTTCGCATTTCCATTGCCAGCCGACTTCCTAGGGTTGGGGGTAACGGGAGAAGCCTCATCGATGTTGCTCGTATCGCTGTCGTTGCCGTGATCGTGGTCGTCGCTGATGATGGAACCCTCGGTCAGAGAGTCATCATCGAGTTCGAGCTGGTCAGGTCCACCTTCTCCGTCTTCCTCATCTTCGATGCGTCTTCTGTGACCAATCTTTCGGCGTCTTGGGGCGGCCATATTGAAGCTTTGTAGGAGCTGCCTGTGCCTGGCTCTGTTGGTTGATGAGCTGGGTACGAGATCGAGCGAGGGGCGATGCTCAAGTTGACGGATAGGACAGGCTCGAGGAGCGGAGGCGGCGGCGGAAGGATGTCGAGACAATCATGCGATGCTTGCGGACGATGGATGAATGGAAGAGAGGGGGAAAAGCAAGTACCGCCCTGCGGTTGGCGAAGAATGAGGGCGATGGAGCAAACAGACAGCCAAGAAGGCGTATTAAATAAAATACACAGCAGCAGTAGCAGCACCGGTTCGTCGGGCAGTGGGGTGAGCAGCAAAGCAGAGCGGGAGGAGGGGGAGAGAAAAAAACGCAATGCTGTTGACGAGCTGGAGCTGAACCCGTGTCGTCTCCTCTGACCTCTCTGCTTCTAATGAAAGAGCAGATGAAGTGGAAGCCTGGGAATAGGAGGAGGGTTTGGGTGCGAGGAGGAATCGCAGGGGTGGAGATGGTGATGATGATAGAAGGGAGGGAGGGATTTCGGCCAGACGACAAAACCAAGACGGACTGGACGGGCGACGGAGACGGAGCCACCTCACAGACAGCTGGTGCAGGTGCAGGTGTAGGTGCAGCAGGTATACGGTAGCAGTAGGTAGGTGCTGGTACTGGCGGCGTTGGTGCTTGTGCACGCCCAGGTGGTGCACCTCAGTCCATCCTTCCGACCCGTTTCGTTAGGTGCTGGGCCTGGAAAAAAAAAAGTGTGGTGTTATTTTTTTTTTCTTCGTCTCTTCCTTGAGCCGTGGCTGGAGCTGCCCGCTCTGTTGGCTCGAGGTACCTAAACACCTTACCTAAGGTAGTTAGGTATCTTGGTACCTCTCTCAGCCAGTAGGATTCTCTCCTTGTTGCCGGCTCACTTCACCAGGCGTGCGACGTTGCGTGGTTGCTTTGGGCCGTTTGGGGCCTGGACCAGCTGGACGTGCCCGCTGTGGAGAGCTGCGAGCAGAGCTGCCCACTAAAATCATCTCGAAAGCTGTGAGGTAAGGAACCTGAGTTCGAGGTACGGGTACCTTGGAATGTTCGGGAGACTAACGTGAGGCTCTCGCACCAATCAGACATGCTTACCGCATCAGAATTGACCCACTCTGATATTCGTCGCTCTGCCTAGATCAATTACCTATCTTCATCAACTCATCCATGAAATTGTTGTTCATCAACTATTTCTACATGCCTCTATAACGCCTCGCACCATAGTATATTCATACAACTAGGAGTCTCAGATGTCCCGGCCGTCGAGCTTCACCTTCCATGCTGCCCCCCCAGAAAGTAGTCTAATACTCTCCAAACCCCCAGCGTGATGCGCCAGCATGCCGTTTCAGGTCTCAGACGCTGGGACGGCCCAGGATCTATCTCGATCTGGCACCGAACCTTAACTTCGTCGTGCTCACCATGTGTCTTCCCACAAACCTTGGCTTGGGATGACAACTTTTTGACTCTCTGAGAGAACAAACCTAGATCCGAGCCAAGAGTCAAAGGACCACTCACTGCATGCATTTCTAACTACACAGTTAATCGCGAGGCGG